GCCAGTCCATAAAAATAGATCACTATGAATTTAAAAGGGTAGAACAATTCAAATATCTAGGTTCTATTTTGAATGAAAAAAAATAATATGGCAAACAAGGTAGCTGCAAGAATTCAAGCTGGAAATAAATGTTACTATGAACTGACTAAGGTACTAAACTCACTAGCAGTATCGCGGAGAATGAAAAAACAATTATATACGTTTTTAATACGGCAGGTTGTATAGTATGGTTTGGAAACATGGCCACTTAGAAAAATGGACGAATATAGATTTATGGTCTTTGAAAGAAAAGTGTTGTGAAAAATATATGGTCCGGTCAAAGACGAAATAACTGGGGAGTGGAGACGAAGAAAGAGCATAGAGCTGGGAACATTATGTGGTAGTTCGCACATATTGGAAGTCACCAGAAACAGAAGACTACGATGGGCTGGCCATGCTAAGAGGAGCCAAAATCCACTATTACATGCAGTGATTGAACAAAATTTTGTAGGTAAAAGGCCTCTGGGAAGACCAAGAATGCGATGGAAAGATATTATAAAAAAGGATGTTGAACAGTTAGGAGATGTTTCCAATTGGAGAAATCTAGCATTGGATAGAGAAGGATGGGAGCTTGGTTGTAAGACGGGATGGTCTTTAAGGCCCAATAAACCAAAAAAAAAAAAAAATGAATACATTATCTCAAAATCTTCTCTTATATTGTTGTATTCAAGAATGAGCTTTTTGATAATAGACTGATCTACCTATGTCAAAAAATCTTTTATTAGTCAGAAAATTAATAATTTAAAAAGTTACGTTATATTTATCCTTATTATATCATTTACATGGAAAGTCTAATGGGAATTCTGATGTTTACTGTTCATCAGTGATGTATACAGAAAATATTTTATGGAGGGGCTACTATGACAGAGGTAAATTATCACTGCTATCTAAGAATTACTAACAGATATAGTAAGTACTTATCTATATTTAATTCATAGAATGTCCCAAAACGATTTGACGTTGAACGCAAATTCTAAATAAGCATAAAGCACCATTAAAATATAATGTACGTTTAAAATAATTTTTTAGTTTTGTAAAACATTTCGGGGGAGGATGTAGCCCCCTAAGACCCCCTCCCCATATACGCCATTGCTGTTCAGTACATAAGTCATATTCGCATAGCAATATTATATTTCCTTGCCCTGTAGTGGTGGGAGGGGAAGCGTTAAAAACTTAATTTCGCCTATGTTTGTTTAAACAATTGAGTCTTGTCTGGTCCTCATACATAACCCAATTAAAGGAAAAAGGAAAACATATAACATCTTTTATTACTTGGCAACGATAGAACCAACTTATTGATTCAATCTCAGATTCGATTTTAAAATCAATTGTACAAGAAGTGAATACTGCTAAAATATTTAGCATATCAATAGATACAACATTCGATATATCTAGACATGAACAAGTATCTTTTGTAATTCGTTATACCGATGAAAGCAAAGATAACATTTTTGAACTTTTACTTATGATGTGTACTACTCCATCCACTAACAGCAAGACCCTTTGTAATATTTTCCTTAATATTTTTGATAAAACAAATATTGATCGAAAAAAAAAATTTGATTGGTCAATCATATAATGGTGCAGCTAATATACGAGGCGAATATAACGGTCTACAAGCTAAAATTAAAAGTTAAAATAATTAAGCTATTTATATCTGGTGTTGGGCACATCGTTTAAATTTAATTGTTGAACAAGGTGTTGAAAGCTGCCTTGAAGCTGTTGATTTTTTTGGTATTTTGGGCAAAATATATGATTTTATATTTAGTAGCAAAAATCGTGTATTTCTTTTTGAACAAAATCAAAAAGAACGTAATCCTACATGGCCAGTATGTAGTTTGAAGCGTGTTACTACTACACAATGGAGTAGTCACTCGTCAGCATTAAATACAATCTTAATAACATGGGAAGTTTTAATTGATACACTTGAAGATCTACATAAATCTGAATCTTCATCTGACCCATCAACATTTATTGATTATTTTCAGATTGAACGATTTTTATACATTTCTTTTGTATTTAAAAGAATATTTGGTTTATTAGATACATTTAGTAAAATACTTCAAGCTATCGATACAAATCTTATCATAGCGTCAGAAATGATCATATCTAAGAAAAACAGTTATTGAAACTTCGAGATGAATTTGATTCAATTGTTTTGGAGGTAAAAAAATTTATTGAGGTTCACAGCGAAGAAAATTTCACCTCTATTCCTTTATCGCAAAAACGTCATAGAAATAGAAAATGTATGCCGAGTGAACAAGCATCAGATAAGCTGACCACTGATCCTCTTAATAAATTTAAGTATCACACATTTTATATAGTAATTGATATTATATGTAATGAGATTAACAAGAAATTCAGTAAATCATCATTATCAGTGTTTAAAGATCTATTACTTATAACAAAAAAAACAATTTTAGAAATAAAAACTAATAATCATAAAATGCCAAATGATGCATTTGAAAGTATATCTTTAATTTATCCAAACTTTTTAAATGCAGAATTATTAAAAGCTGAATTTATGTGGCTTATAAACTGTTTTTCTAATTTGGAGAAATCATATTATTTGCCTAAACATCTTCATAAGACTGATCTAATATCTTATGATGGTGACAGTAATAATGTTAATTCGGATTCTGGAGAATAAGAAGAAGCCATTAGCTTACCTAGCAACTCCATGAATATTAAATCACTATTATATAAATTTCAATTGTTTACGTATTCAAGCATAAAAGATGTACTACCAAATATTTATAAATTAATTAAAATTGGAGTAACATTGCCAGTTTCAAGTGCTTCTACCGAACGAAGTTTTTTAAAATTAAAATTAATTAAGACATGATTGTGATCCACAATGGTAGAGGCAGAATTGGAAGGATTGGTGCGCATAGCTCGTGAACAAGATATAACAATTAACAAAGAAAATGTAATAAATAAATTTGTAAACAACAGCAATCAACTAGTGGCAAAGCGTCATAGGAGACAATGAGACAATGTCTACCTACTTTTAATACGAATACATAATTTGGTTTTATTATATTTTATTTATTTTTATATAATATATACTTCAATATTTATCATAGTTTTACTTTTGTTCCATACCGTATGAGTATTCTTAAAATAGATTAGTTGCGGACCGTGCACGCGAGCTGTCATCCATTGTGACGTAGTAGTTAATTCTATAAACATCCAAATTCAGATATAAAAATTAATATTATGAGACAACGCGTTGCAGCGTCTCGTTTTTCAGGGCACGGTGTGCAGGAGGAATAAGTTATTGAGTGGGGATTATCATTGTGCTATAAGACATGTCTGGCGTTCGTATTTATTATTTCATTTTAATATACATTATTGTAATTGTCATTGCTTTTCGCATTGATGCATAATCGTTCAATGCAATTTTGTTATCTTAGTTATTGGTTGGTTTTTATTTTACGATTTATTTATTTCTGGTGTGATATTCGTATCTAAATATTAAAATATTGTACTATTGTCATTCGCTACTATGCCTAATGATTTAATTTATGAAATGTTTAATGATGGAATAGTAAACTACTCATACGAAAAAATATATGAAATAAAAAATAAAAGACCTTGTCTCTTTTATCATAAATACATATAAAGTTATAAATGGTGGGGGGGGGGCTGTAACGTATTATTTTAATGTCTCCCCAACCTAAATACTCGTGCTTCGCCACTGCAATCAACTAATGCATTTATTAATTTATATAATATACAAAATGAATAAAACGTATTAATAAATTAAATTAATTTAATTAAATAAATATTAATAAAACGTATTTACGTAAAACACTCATTATTTCGCAAAGCAGTGACTTTTTAAAAAAAATTTTTTTTACATAATTTTAAAACAATATAAAACATAATTTTTCTATGATTAATTTTTTTTATTATTGTATTTTTTTAAATTATCACTTTTTTTTACAGAATATCCCATAAAAATTAACATTGTCATAAAGTAAAAACCTTTAAAATGGTAATGATAAAAAATAATAAAAAATATTGTTCTATATTGACTTAAAAAATTATGTAAAAGAATTATTTTGAAAAGAGCTATAACTTCAAAATAATGAAAGTTCTACGTAAAATCAATCATCTAGTATATCTATTATTATTACCGTTGTTATTTATTTATTGATCTACTTTAGTATAGCTTATGTATACATTTATGTCTGCACATTATATTTTTATTTTATAAATAATACTATTTAATTCAAGTTATATTATCTGTTTATAGTTGAAAATAAATACTATAAATAAACTACTATTAAATTATTCAACATTTTTTTTAGAGGGTGGGTGGGTGGGTCTAACACCAGCGATTTTTCCCCATAACATGAAATATAGATCGACGTCACTGCATGTACCTTAAGAAAATCAAAATTAAAAATGTTTAGTCTTAGAAAAAATATAAATTTTGTTTTATTTCATTTTTTTTATTTATTTTTTATATTTGATTCAATGTATGTCGACACATACATTTTCAAAACTTTGAACTCGCTTGACGCTTACATTTTTCTTAGACTCTTTACCTCATTTGAAAATAACTATCAATCTTCCATCATAATTCGTACACAGTTAAATTTTAATCAATCTCGATTGTTCATTTACATCCATGCGTTATCGCTTTCAGCGAACCATATTAGCTTAGAGTCATTTAATACAGTACGAATGGTGCATTACAATTTGTAAAAGATATCGATGGACCGACCACGAAGGAAAATTCTAAACTCTATTCTATGGAAGCAAACACGTGGTTTCATGTGTTTCACGTTTTTGTTTTCATCAGTGTATTGTAACCATGGTGTAGAGAATAATCTTGTCTACACCGCGCTTGTAACTGTCAGTGTCCCATCAAATCATCGTTATATCATTAATAACAACATTATAACCTAGATATCCAGTGAGTTCTATCGTTTTCTATTGATATCTTTCCGACCTACCGACGTGCATTGGTTGTATCGTATCGCTATCACACAGGTAAACACTGCAGTATTAATAATAAATTATCGTTCATTTGGGAGACGTCTTGGCACGACGGCAACCCGGTCGTCCATGGGCACGTTGAAGTGTTCCGGATTCTGAAGCTTCCATCGTCATGACCTCAAATCCGAACTTGTCCGAGTTCTCGGTGCACACCGAAAAGCTGGTGGAGGTGTTGTACAAACGTCACTATTGCAGCTCCAAAGTCAACGTATCCATGTTGTGCAGCCGCATCGAAATTAACACCAGGTTGGTGGATAATTCGTTCGATGTCCTCCGTGTTTAAACTGATCCTACTGATTTTTCGTAACCCGTTTGAATTTTAATGTGGAAGGATGGTAATCTTAGTGGGACCCGTGAAGGATTTTGAACTGTGGAGGTCATCTCTAATGGACTAGAAATATTTATATCTGAATACATTCAAGTTGGTTTGGTGTCAGGGTTAAATTGTTAAATTATTTTACTTTCTGGTTGACATATAAGAGTACTGATTTAGAATCAAAGCTTGTGCACTTATCCTTAAATAATATTTCCCATGTTTCTAAAAATCAATTAAAAAATATAAAAAATATATTTGTTTATTAGTAAACATATAAATAACATTTCTTCATTACTATGTTTCATAATTTTATAATGAATAATACTTGACTGTGCTACTTGTAAATTATTTAAATGTTGTAATTTAAATTTCTTGTAACAGATTTTCTGATATCTCAAGTATATCATTATTTGTTGATAACTATTATGGTACTGAAAATGAAAGTAGCAGTGATGATGAATTGAATTTATATTCAGATAAACGTAAACTAAGAACAAGAGTTATTGAAACTGAACCAAGTAATGAAATGTAAGTAGTTCTTCTATTTGCTAGGTATAAGTACTAAATATATATTCTGTAGGTTTTATAATTTTAATACATTTATTTCATAAAGCAAGAACTTATCTAATATTATTTGACATTAATATATTTCAATTTTTTTTTCTTTTAATAGGAAATTATATCATAGTGAATCAGAAACAATCAATTTAGCCTTAAAGAATATTGGTTTAGTGAGCTTTAATGATAAAATGTATACCTTGCACCCTTCAGAATTGTATTATTACAAATATGATTTTACTAGTTACAGTCCAAACAGAAAAAGTTTACCAAGACAAGATGCAAGTACATTTTTGTTTATTTTTCTTATAAAATAACAAACAAATCTTATATTTATTTCAAACTACAAATATTTATAATTTGTTCATTATTTTTAGAATGCAGTAAGTTTTAATGATGAATATAATTCTGGAAGAAAAAATCATAATTCAGTTCCTTCGCAGTTGTCTCCAAATAATAACTTTTATCATACTAATCGTGATAAAAAAAAAGTGAGGATATTTTATATTAAATTTTAAACTATTGAATAACTTTCATAATCAATTTTTAATTTTGAATACAATAAACATTGACTTTGTTTACATATTTACTATTCAAATTACATTAGATCACATGGTTTTAGCATGTTTTATTTCATGATTATAATGTTGAAAAAAATTTTAATGATAAAAATATGTTAAAATTAATTTTTCATTTCATGAATAATGAGCTTTTTGTATAATGAATATTGATTTATCATTTTTTTTATTTGTATTTAAGAAAGCAAATAACTAATATTACAATAATGTTGTACATCCCCAAACACCTCACATTATTATAACACCCAATAATAGGTATTTAAAGTTATAAACATTATTAGGGCATTTAAATTAAAATTAATTCTGCATCTAGAGTTTTTTAAATAAACAGCTTTATTTCATAAAAATGTTATGCTTCATACACATGTAATTATATAAGACAAAATAAATGATAAAAAAGGAATATAGTTAATAAATTAAATTGAGTTTTTCATTGTTTTAGAATTATTATCAAATACAGGAAAACATTTTAACCCTTTCAGACTCAGAATTCATTTTTTCAGATAATAATTTTTTTTTTTTTTTTACAATTACACTATCCACGACTTTATAGTAAACCAAAATATTTTTTTTTCTTACATCTTACTTATTATAATGGATATATTATTATACACATTGATTTTTCTAAATATGGTAACAATTAAATTACTTATTTAATATAAGTTATCACCAATATTCATTTTGAAGGAACATTAGACTTGATCATATATAAAGTACATTTTAATAATAAATATAAATATAATAAGCAATATCAATTTATCTACTTGAAAATTTTATGGTTAACTGATAACAATATTATTATATTATCATATTTTGACGTCTCACAAGCCCAATATCTCTCTCAGAGGACATATATAACAGCTGATATATTATCACTCCTATTCACGTTGGGAAAGTTTTGACCGTTCGTAATAATTAACTACGATACCGTGATGACAAAAAAAAAAAAAAAATGAACAGAATTTTAAACTTAAGTGTCCAAAATATACAAATATAAATAATATATAAATTTGTTTTTTAAAATGTTTGCAATTAATATTTAGTGTAATACTTTTGTGGAATGAAATACATGATTGATTTTATGATTTTCATAATCTGCATTAGTTTAATGACAATATACATCCATTTATATAACGATTAAACAATTTTAAACTATAGAGATATTATGATTTTCATAATCTGCATTAGTTTAATGACAATGTACATCCATTTTTATAACGACTAAACAATTTTAAACTATAGAAATACTAATTTTAAAAGAATGTCCCTCTGAGGGAAATTTGGGTCTGAAAGGGTTAAAAGGAATAAATTTGTTAACCAGGAAAAAAAAATTTACTGTCGGAATTACAATCATAAGAATAATCATACTCTGCCTTTGAAATACTGGTCAATGAGATACATGTTGTTTTCAAATTTTGACTCTGGTATTATGTTGGATGAAGGTATATCAGCATTGCATTGATAACAATTAATTTAATATCTTAATATCATATAACCATTATGTATTATTTACAGAAAGTTTTTATTCTGTGTGCCCTGAAATTTTAAGTTACCATATTGCTAAACGATGTAAGAATTACCTAGCTTTGGATCCTTTTTGTGGTGCTGGTGGAAATATAATTCAATTAGCATTCACATGTGAATTAGGTATTTGTACAGTTATTTCATTATTTTATTAATTTATTTATCGAAAATGAAAATTTGGTGGAAATAATTTGTTTAGTTATTGCGATAGATATAGATCCAACTAAGATTAGTTTTGCAAGACATAATGCAAAGATTTACGGTGTTGATGATAAAATTGAATTTATTGTTGGTGATATTTTTACTATATATTCAATGCTTAAAGCAGATGTTGTATTTATGTCACCTCCTTGGGGAGGACCCGAATATCCTATCGATAAGTTTAGTATAGAAACCATGTGCAACAATCAATTTGGAGGTGGCTTTGGTATTTTTAATACTGTTAAAAATATTTCTTCCAATATTGCTTTTCATATGCCTAAAAATACCAATATATTCGAGGTAGGTTATAATTTATAATATCAAAATATTTTTTCCAACTCATACTTTTGCTTATTTTTCAGTGCTTATGGTTAGCAAAAGATTTTGGGAGAGTGGAAATTCAGCAGAATATTATTAATGAAAAATTAAATTCAATTACAGCATTTTATGGAGAGTTTATCGATTTAACAGACAATGATTATTAAAAATATAAACGATGATTTATTTTATTATAAGTAATATTTAAATTGTAAACATCATTCATTGACAAAGTTTGACTTTTATTGTTGAATAATATGTTTTAACTAAAAGTTATACTTATTCACTAATTATATACTGTTAAATTAATTTGTTATTTCTTGCAAGTTATATGAATTTTATGTATTTTAAAGAAATAAAACTAATATTGTGTTTTTGCCAAAATAATATACTAAAAACAATTTTAATTTTAATTTGTCATATATTTAATAGTTGGAGTTATCGTGTCTGATTATTATATGAACAAAATTATATTGATTTATTTGATGCAATTGTAAATGCCTATACATATGTTATTTTATCTATATTAGATAATGGCAACTTTTATCATTATACTAATTAAATTTCTGAGAAACGTGTGAATAATTGTTGTAGGTATTATAATTTTAGTCTTATAATATTAAAAAGTAAATTTGGAAAAAATTAGCATTTGCTGCTGGTGTTTGGTAGAGATAAGGAAGTAAGATTAAGTTAGGTTTATGAGTAAAATATTTAAATTACAAATTAAACTGTTTAACTTCTGTTTCATATTGTGATGCAGTACCGCAAAAACCGGGTGTGCAGTGTGTCGTGCACACGGGCCCCAAGGCTACACATACATTTGGGTGGGCCCTCTAGTACCAGCCTAAAATAAACTACACTTTACAAACATACAATTATTTAGTAATATATTATTATTTTGTAATAAAAAGAAACTTTTTTTTTAAAATTCAGTTAAAGATGTTATAATATTTATTTAACAATGAGTCCATTGAGTATTTGAGTAGGCATATAAAATAACTACCTAAATTAATACATTACTATATACAAGCATATAGGGTTACCAGATGGTGCCTTTAAGAAAATAATACATAATATAATATAATGCCTTAAAGGTAATAATAAAAATTTACTTTCATAGCTAATATTTATTTAATTAACATAACATTTTATATAGGTAACTAAAGATTAAGAATTGAGACATAAAATTTAATATTTATCATTACTTCGAATTTTTGATAAAAAACTTTTATTTTTAATACATTAGTTATAAAACCGAGTTCAGTCAAAATGCTTAAAATTGTATTGTGTCATCTACAAATGTTTTACAAAATCCGTTAGAAGTTTATTTCTATTATCAGTCCATTGTTTTCATAAAGCTAAAAATTCTTTCGACATTGACAGTTTGAGCAGGTATGGCGAAGTAAAACGTGCATATTTTTAAAGTTCTGAAGATGTATCATAGCTCCTTTGCTCAAAATATTTTACCTACTTTTCATCTTATAATAATGATGAGAAGTCTTCATTTTTTTTCATTTCTGACAAAAACACTTTAAGTATTGAGATTGATCAAATAATAAAGTCATTTAATTGTAAATCATATTTTTTTTTAAAAAAATGCTATTTTTTATATCAATCCACAAAGGTTTGGATTTTAGGGAAATCCATTTGAGAACATTAAATTGATCAAAATTAACTGTTCATTTTTTCAAATAACACAAACCATGGTCTTAAACATTAAACATTTCTTTTTTTAAATTAGATGCATTTGATTGGTTATAATTATTTTTAAATATTTATTTTACTTTTAAGGATAAAAACTTGTTGTTTTCGTTCTTGTAAGGGATTTTTTTTTACTGACATACATACGATATTTCCCAAATCGAATTATTTTCTTTTACCATTATCTCAATTTTTGAATGAAATATATACATTAGTGAATGAATAAACCATAAATAACTATCGTTTAAAGGATTTTCAAAAAATGATTTAATTGCAATTGGTATTTCATTTTCTGACAAAAAATATGCAGGATTATTTAAACTGGATATATTTTTCAACAGATTTTTAAGGCTGAAAACAATGATAACCATCTAGTTTTTAGTGAAATAAAAGTCTTTTATACTCAACATCGACAAAAGTACAAAATTATTTTAATGATTCTATACGTATTGTATAAATTGAAAAATAATTATATATTTTTAATATAATACTCTATATCGATTGGTAAACTATCAATTGCGTGTTGAACACGGTTATTTAGAATGTGAGCAGGGCATCCGATTCCAATAATTGGTTTTTTAATATGCTGTTGGAGACGATAAAAAACATTTGTTTATAAATAGAAAAAATAGTACATTTTTGACAATATAAAAAAAAGTAAGAGTACAACAATTTTAAGAACTCAAAAGAGAACATGTATTCATATAAGTACTCTTAAAAAAGTATATATTGTAACCCTAACTGCATAACATGTGTACACTCTCAATTAGTGAAAACCAATAGATTATGTATTCTTAACATTAAAATCAAAATTCCTAACTATTGGTTAGGAAAATTAGGATAAATCATGAACATTTTATTTAGGCCAGATTTGTTACAAGCAAATAGTAAAACATAAAAATATATATTAAATACGTATTTAAATAAAGATTCGAAAGTATGGCAAATTGGATAACTAGATTATTGCACAAATATTTTTGCCAACAGCCTAAAGTGAGAAACAGAAAAACTGAGCTGTTAAAAATTACACTATCTAAATATGAAATGTACACTTTGTCGATTATATTTTAGACAAATGAGTAGGTAGATAAAACTTTGTTTCCTTCTCATTTGTAGGAAAAGTACCACCGATATTAAATCATCCTGGAACCACAAATTACCAGAATCGTTAAATTATTCCTTAAAATATAATAATATATTTTACTCAATACCTTGATTAATTTAAGTTATAATAGGTAGTATTATTATATAGAAATTCAATCGAAAATATATAATAAAGAAAACAGGTGATATAGACTAATTATAAAACAATCAAGTGCCTATGCTTAAAATATCAGAAGTTATTTATTATATTATATTTAATTTTATTTATTCTTTATGATTTTACATTATTACCTGTTCAATATATTTTATAAACATGATTTATTATTAATTAACAATGTATATTGTATGCAATTTTGTTTTGTTTACATTTATATTGTCAAATTTATACTTAAATTGTTTTTTTATTTTTATTAAATAAGAAATCATTATGTATTATGTAAAAAAAGGTTAATGAGGGAGATGACTGTTAGAGAACAAAAATTTAACAGTGTATTGGAGATCAGATACAGCGATTTTTAATGGAGACGGAAAGATTGATTTTTGAGGGCAACTAGGAAAATAGTAGGGAAATCAATAAGAAAACAATTAAAGTGTGTATGATAGAATAAAATTAACTAGTCAAATAATTTCTATGCATAATCCTATATGAACTGTCAATACTTGATTTAACGTTTGATTAGCTATGGTTACAGATTACCCATCTTGCAACAATACACCATAATATTTAAGTCTTAGTATAAAATATATATATATATATAATAAAAATATTAACACAGCATGAGGCAATAGTAAATTATATATTACTGAAATCTATATTTTTATTTTTTTTAGAAGGGAGATATTACATAAGCCATAGTATCTAAATGCCTGAGCTGGATGTTATCGTACAATAAATTCAAATCGCCTATTAATTTATCTGCACCAGGGAAAACTGTATAAACTGTTACAGCTGTTTACTTTTTTTTTTTTTTTGTGACAATATTTTAATATACACTCATTTCAGACACCAACAATTGTAAAATACATGATGTTATAATAGATGTATATGTAAGAAAAATATTAAAATCATGTAATTTAGTAAATAAATAATATTATAATCACTTATCATAGTATGTATGTAGTAAGACTTAACTTATATAACATGATAACTATTCGAAGTTATATTTTTAAATTCAAACATGTTTTATTATAATGTATGTGTTATACATAATCTATAAATGTAAAAGGTAGTAGTAAATTAACCAACTGTAAACAAATCGCCAGCAGATGGAAGTGGTGCTAGACCACCTTTTACACTGGGCAATTGTGCTAAATCCGGTAAGTTCTGTAGGTGTGTGTTAACTTCTTGCCGTACTTGACACACTTTCTGTAGTTTACCTTGATATTCCTGAAATAATAACAATACTTATTACTTATTGGTTATATTTCCGAAAGAACTTCTATACTGTTGAATGATAGGTTATCAAAAGCTTTTCAGAAGTATTCAGTTGTTATAGAAACAAATTACTAACTTAACGAGAATAAAATAATACTGTTTTTTTTTAAATTGCTAAATGATCCTACGTTTGGAAAAACACTTACAAATAAAAACAATGGAAACATAATATAGCAGTGGTTCCCAAACTTATACGCCTACAGAACCCTTATGAAATAGTTTGTGTTTCACGGAACCTCAACGTCTCTAACTCCACCTTAATTCAATTTTTTATAAAACCAGTACTTCATTAAATATTTTAAAGATAGTGCATAATTATTGTTTATTACTATTACTACTTTTGATATTAACATACATTTTGAAGAACCTATGAGATTGTTCCACGGAACCCTTAGGTCTTAGTTTTATAATGTTAGCTGTTTATTGAAATAAGTTTTTCGATAAAACATAAAAAGTGAAGTTACTTATTCTTTAATTCCATTGATCCTCGAAGAAAATAAATAACAAATCTGCTTTGAATAAGACATTTTAATAATTTATTGGTAAACAAAAACTACACTTCTGATGTTAATCGCGATAGACGGTACATCAGCACATTGGTTCATGTACCTGTCTATTTTAATTATAATAATTAACTAAATTAATAACTGAATTCTTACAGAATAAAGCTAAACAGCTAATTTAATGTTTTTATAATGTCTTTTAAAATATAGAAAAATACCTACGAATCAATAAATTAAGCTCGTCACTTTGATATTATGCTTCAAACATTGACTTTTACGATAACATTGAGAAAAATGTGGATGGTACATACCTACAGCCTAATCGAGTGTCCTATACACAAAATTCAATAACTTAAGTTCATTAGAAATATGTAGAGATAGTTAAATGTACATAAGTTATAAGATGCATAAAATTAATTTATATATTAGAAGAATATGGCAGTATTTTAAACGTAACAAGTAAAATGATCAATGATATAACTAATAGGAAAATGTTCAGGTTTATTAAATAAATTAAGCCCCCTCAGTATTATTACTTTTATATGAAAATTCAAAATATACACATATTGATCTTTTAATTATGAACACTTACTATGAAATTCATATGAAATTAATTAATAAATAATCAATGTAAAAAAGAAAACAATTTTATTACTATAAAAAATATATTGCATATTATATGAATTATTCTATTTTGATACTGATTGTAATTGGAATTGAATAATTTAGAAATAAACCATTGAATACATCAACATTTTAAATTATTTTAAGTACCTTCTCAAAATTGTCTAAGGATCTTAAGGGTGAAAACTGTTGAAGCTTCAGGGCACTGCTCTATTTTTTTCTGATCGCTACACCACTGCTAATGATTCAGTACTTATTAAATCGAATTGGTTTTAAAAATCAAATGAGCCTAAAATTAAATTTAAGTTGTAAGCAAGTATGGCTGTACATTAGCAGGTTACCTTTACTGTTTTGTAAACGGAAATTTAAATATAATAAACGGTTTAGGAGAAATATCATGGTCTACATTGATTCCAGTAGGTATTGAAATATATGAAGGATTTGAGCAGTTTTTTTTTATGGTTAAATTTTTGATTGAGAAGATAATAAAAAAGTAATGGGCTGGAGGGAATTTCTTTTACCTATAGAGAAGATCATAGTGCTATACTTAGTGAAATGCTAGGACAACATCTGAAAAACTTCAAGATAGTATTTTCAAAAGTGGTTAAGATTTTGTATGCAAATAGGTGGACTTTGTATAATTTATTGATGGTTAGCCCTAAAGCTAAATTGAGAGCAAACAGTTATTTATAACTAATAATTACTTACTAACAGTTATTTATAATTAATATTTTGGGAGTTCATTTAAAGTGGGATTTGCTTTATATTTTTTTTTCAAATATTAATCCTAAAACAGGAAGAAGAGTTATGGCCTGTAGGAAAATGTCAAATGATTTAGTTTTTGAGGTTTACAAGTAGGATTACAATGGGGAAATTTCATGTTAAGAATAAAATACTAAAAATGAAGTTAGTCAAAAGCTAAAAAGGTTGAGATATTTTGTTTAAAAGGATATTTATATAAATTTGATAAAATAATAGTTGGCAATGTATTGAATATAAGGAAAATATATTGACCTTTCAAAAAAAAAAAAAAAGGATTAGTTGAACCGAATGAAAATTCATCAGTCACTTCGGTTAATCAACAATGAACAAAATAAAGTGGTAAGACTAAATTAAGAAAATGTTTTAGATCAATAGACATTTTTTTATAATGAATCGATTCAGTAAATATAAATTTTATATAACAAAGTTATTTCATTATTGTGCCCTAAGTCTAGAGCTTTATTTCCTATGTGCTCAATTATCATAGATTGTAGATCCACTCATAAACATACATATTAAAAGTTTAAAATAAATATCTAACCTTAATCATATTGTTTATTCTCAGATCAAACTCTTGATTAACTTCTCACAAATATATTAAATGTAATACAAATTACCTGTAATCTTTGTTCAGCTTGATCAATAAGGTCTCTTTGAGATTGAATAAAATCGTGCAACATAGAAGAAACCTTCTTGCGATCTTCCATTTCACACACCAGTCTAGTATTGTAATCGGTTAACAAAGCAACAGCATCATTTACCTTACGTAGAAGTTCTTCGGCCTCATCTTTACCTAAAATAAATAAAATATTTAATAGAATGTATAAATTGATACATTTGATACAATATAAAAATGTATCCATATACATTATGTAGAAATAACAACACAATATGAATACGGTCAAATAAAGACATACATATCGGTACTTAGCATGAATATATTATGTTATTTGCAAATTTAAAACGGAGAGTAGTATACAATTATCAACATTTTAAATTAGAAAAACTGTACACAATTAAACAAAATTTAAATTTTTTATTTAATTTAAAAACGTGTGTAAAGTTATTATAATTAAAAATATCCAATAAAATATTATATATAAATAATTTGTTGTACAAGTCAATAAGAGTTCAAAAATTTCATTACCATTCAAATTTTAAAAACAAAAGATAACAAATTTCAGTATATTACGAAAAAACTTAACAGTATACAGATATATTTAATTACACAGTGTATTTTAAAATCTGAAAGAATACAAAATAAAAGTAACCTTTTAACTGAGAAAGTAAACTGACATCAGCAATTTCAGGAGGAAGTTTTGAGATTCGTTCTCGTACAACTGCATCGCAAGATGGTGCATTTTCTAAGTCCTGAAAAATAAAAATAAAGTATCTTATACATTAAAATGTATTAAAATTTAGGTACATTTAACAGTTATGATTTCTAAATTCTACACTAACATAATGTAAAAAGATAAGTAAATTTGTATAATAAATCCAACATATTTTAAAAGAGAAAACTATAATTTATAAATTTACAAAATATATAAATAAAATATGTATTCTTTAAATAATGTAAATGTCATAGCTAGAAAGTTCTTTTAATTTACGGGGAATTGTTTCAATTATTTTAAAATAAAACTTTATAGCAATAAAAGAAACAGTAACATTAAATGAGTAAGATTCAAAGGTGGTAAAAAAAAATATGAAATTTGTGTAAACAATTTCAAGTAGTACTTTTATCCATGGTAGACTTGAACAAAGATCAGACATTTTTGCCCAGTACAATTAAGTACATTAAATTCAATAAAATATATTACAAATATAAATAGGTTCAAATTGATTTTATATATCTTATTTCAATTTTTTCTATTAATATTAATATAATAAACAACTCATCTATATACATTTAGTGCTTTAATTAATTCTTCTGGTTCAGGTGGGTCGTTGACAGGAGTTTTTGGAGATAAAGTAACGTGTAGTTCTTTTGTACCATCTACTTCAACGATAACTTCTTTATCTTTCTTTATACCATTATTTTGGGATTTAGTCCTTTTTGATTTATGATTATATGAATGTTTTACTTTTTTTGGTGGTGGTTCTTCAGTGGGTTTTGTTTCAGTTTCTTCGCCTAAAAAATATAAAAAAAATATTTAAGTAGTTATCAATTAACAACTATGTATTATTTAAATATACCAAAAGCTTCCTTAAACTCATCTATTTGGATTTTACTGTAAACACCTCTTTCTTCCCATATATTCAACAATCGTGTCAAACTCTGTCTAGTCTTTGTGGTGCAGTTTTTTAATGATATTTGTTTAAATGCTTTCGCGAGTTCCTTGCCAAATTCTTGACCATACTCAGGACCTTTCTTTTTACCATTCTGAATAACATCATTGGCTAAATACATTAATGTCAATTGCTTGGACTCAGAACCTGAAATAATTAATTTTTTTTAATTATAATTCTAATCCATAAATGTTACTTATTTAAGTACTTAAATAGCAATTAAATAGCATTAAAAATGGTTTTTTAAATCTGTGTACATAAATTAAATAACGAGAAATTTATTTTAAATTTTATAAAATATAAATTTTGAATAATGTAAATTTGTAAAAAAAAAATAAACAGCTATTTCTGATTTATTATTTATATATTTAAACCTTCTACAACATAATAAATTAAATAAGTAAGTTTTATTTAAATAATTTAATGAATAATATTTTTATGTACTTTATAGGTTACTTTATGGGATATATTTCTCAAGGAATGTAACGAAAGAACCCGTAAATTATGGTTCATATGATTTATGAATACATAAGAGTATCAACATATATTTCAAATTGTATAATATAATTATTATAATAATATATTCCATTAACAATAAAATATACCTAGACATATTTAACTTGAAAGTTTTACAACATGGCATAGTATTATTAAATATATTAGGGATGTTCATTTTAAATAATTAAAGACAAAAAATAAGTGTCTTCATTTAATTGTTGTCAAAGTTTTATCTTAGATAGACAACAAAAAGATAATTTCAAAAATATTTTTTTCTAAAATAATTTAACAAAAATTGGTTGTTTAATAAATTGTTTATGGATAAAAGTAAAAACTTTAATGTTTTTTATTTAAACTGTTCAATTCTAATTACAAATAAAAATAAAATTGTATAAAAAAAGAATTAGTGTTTTAACAATATAAAGTCAAATATAAAAATTAACTTTTAATAATTGAACATGGCAAGTTATTGACCATAAGTAAGTATAATAAAATTCCATAATATTTATAATACATGAAACAAATATTAAGAAAATAAATTAATAATTTAAATGTAAAGAAATATTTTAACTTGTAATCTATAGCTATAAAATGAAGAATAAAGAAAGTAAATTTTATTTTCATTATAAATTATGGAAATTAAGAAAAATTTAAGCAATTCAAGAATATAACCAACAATTACGGAAAACAGATTTCATTTAAAAATTATTAGACTTTGTGTATATTGTGTATTCTAAATAATAATTGATAAATTAAGAATAATTTATAAATACTTCTACATAACGAAAAATATTAAAAAAAAAGAAAAAAGTAATAATGTATTTAAAGAAAATATTATAAATCACATAAACAAGTCATACTATAAATTATTTTAATAATACATAGTAACATAATACATGTAACATGTCATACATAAATTAGCTAAAATGATAAAATCATTAAATGTTTTAGAATTATAACTTGTTAATATAATATATCCTTTATTCTAGAAGTTCCAAAATGAATAATCTAAAAACAAACATAGAGGTAGGTTTTATAAATTCTGTATCAATAAATAGAAAACAAATATTTTTGAATCAGTTATACCACTTTTTTGGGCATAAGTAAAATTAAGTTAATATGAACTTAAAAATATAATGTTTAGTTGCTCTTACCTATAAATAATAACATACAATTAACAAACATATTACAAAAATTTTGTTTTGAAACATATTTAATGTATTCAAGATATTTAGTTTATAAATTATTTATAAGCAAAATCAAATTTATTATTATTTCACCTTGATTTTAAAATATTTTTTGGCAATCACATTCTCAAAATTGGTGTTAATTACTTACATTTCCTTTTTAATATATCATTATTCATTAGCTATGCAGATGAATAACTCATCACTAAACTTTGATTAATTTTAGTTAGAAATTACAAAGGTTTTCTTTTATTTTTTTTTTTAAAATTTTATTTCAACTTTTACTTGCTATTAATCATCCTATTTTTGAGATAGAAAAATTGTTTGGTCTATTTGAATCTATAGTTAAAAATATTAGTTCCCATTTAAAATCAGGAAGTTAAGTTGCACATTCACACATTTAAAGGGTTAGAAATCTGAAAATCATCAAAAAAATGAGTATTTCAGAATTCCTTATCTACCACTAAAAACTCCATTTCACTTCAAGGTTACTAGATAGAAATATTTAGTGTTACCATTTGGGTGAGTCATACTGTTTACAGCATAATATACTGTAATTTGTTTTTAGGTAACATTTCAAATGCATTTATTATTAATGGTAATTTCTCAAGGGGCTGCTGTCTTTCTAAAAAAGTTTTTAATTTATTTTAGGTAAATATGATTTGAATTATTTAAAGTAATAAGTTAACAATAACTAATATTGGAAAAAAATTGAAGGAAAAAATTATGAAATTGTAACACAAGCATTACAAACCATACACTGCTGTGTAATGTCACTGCACTGTCTTGCACAACAGTTTTCAACCTTTAGAGCGCAAATTAGTTTGATATAATATTGGCATCCTCATTCATTCAGTACAAAATCAACTACTCATTAAATTAATAATCATTTATAACTAAGGAACAGATTTATATGTAATAAAAATACAGAAATATGTAAATAAATAGAATTATAATTATTAAATTATCAAAATAATTTGTTCCATTGAACTATTACAATTTCTTTTAAAATATGGAATGTTAAATAACATCTAACCTTAGGTCTCAAAAAATTAATAATAAAATTTTAAATCAATATAGCCTGGATTTTTTTCTGTAACAGCATGAATTTTCTTTTTACACGCTATACCCGGTATAACTTGACCATCGCTTTTAAATGTCTTGTTCGGAAATTCAATAATATATTAAGAAACTGGACGAAATAATTTTACTAATTTTTGGACACTAATTATAAAAACCTATTGCTATCCCCTGTCATCAATTGTCTAATATATATAAATGTATACTATATTAAGATAACTATTATATCTTTATTAAGATCATAAGATAACGACTATAAAGATAACTACTAAATATTTGCTCCACGTGAAGTGTCACAGTTAATAATAATTATTATTTAATTCATAGAATCCATTGGCTAATTAATAGATTAATTTATTTATAATGTTCAAAAGTAATAATTAAATTGAAAATATACGGATAAATGATGGTTTGTGTCTATTGCAACATAGCTTGAAAACGATGAATGATGAAATGATAAAATATGTTTAAAAATATTAAAAAATTAGTGAAATATATAAAAATATGTGAAATAAAAATAGCATCATTTTAATATGAATGATTTAAATCATGAACATTTCTTATCGAATATTAAATATCTTGTTTTAATGAAAATATCCATTTAAATATAAATCCGTTCCCTATATAATAACCTTTAATTATCAATATAATAATAAATTTTAAAAATAATAACTGTACATATTTAACTTTTAGTGAATTAAATGATTATATTTTAATAATTATAAAGTTTTTAGTAATAAAAAAAAATTATGTAAAATTATAAACACATTTAAAATTTTGATAAGTAGAAAAATAAAAAAATTGTTGGTCGGGTACATGAAAAATTAAAAAATATATAAATAGTTAGCAGATATATATAAAGTATATAATTTTAAAATTAAGAAGCACATTTACAGATAAAATTTGATGTTAAGTATACACAATGGTCAGCCTTCAGCAATCAAAATTGTACATGTAGTAGTGGTGCATAACGATATAGAACCAATTTTACCAATTTTGATGAGACAAATTTATCACCAGTGTTTCGATATCAATTTGTTACAGTTTTTTATTTTCTATAATAAGAAAACTTATTTTTTAAAGTAACAATCCTAAAAAAAATTCATCAATCATTTTTGTACTTAGTATTTTATTATTTACAGTTTTTAAAAATATCGAAACATTATTTTTTGATATTTATATTTTTTTTTTGTTTTTCGATGTAACAATAAAATAAAAAATTGAGATAAATGAGCCCAAATTAATAGTTAAAAATATATAGGTACAAGTGCAACATTTTAAAGTAGCTTTTATTTGTTATTGACTCTTTTTTGTTGTAAATAATAAATTTAATTTTTAAGTACAATGAATACCATAAATATCTCTGAGCCTCTATGATGATTTGTAACAAAAATTCATTTAGCCAGAGAAAATTTTTTCTTTTTAACCATCACACTTAATAATTGTGTATTTTTAAAATATAGTGGGTAATTTAATTTATATAATCTTTCCACATAATTATTTAACCAAAAATTTAATACAGCATTTTTTAATTTTAATGGGATTTATAGGAAAATATAAGAACTGACTTCAAATACTAATATATCTATTAGTACAAAGTAAATAGAATACATCTAAGTTACATGTATAATAGACACATAAATAAATCGTGGCGTCCAACTTCAATAAATATAAATTAAAATATACTTTTTTTAAATAACAAGTTTAATTTACTTAATAAAATTAATAGTTTTTCATTATCAAAAATTGGTTACAATATACAACTTATTTTAGCAGATAAAAAATAAATATTGATTTTCAATATAATTTTAATATAACAATTATTATCAATTGTATTGGTAAGTATAGAAACTATAAAATATACATTATTATAAATATATTTAAGGCAAATATTTTTTTAGCACCAATTGATACAATTTATAATAGGCAAATAGGGTTATTATATTAAGTAATTTGTACAGAATGTATAAAGCTTCAATGTTGTTTTCTTAAAAAGTAGTTAAAACTGCCACTAATTCTTATATTAATTTTTCATGAACAAATATAATTAAAATAAACAAAATAAGTTTAATATGTGGATATGTGACAAAATCATCAAACCCTAAATTAAGTATTATAAATTATATAAAAAAAAAAAAATGTTAACAAATACTTTTAGATAAGTAATAAATATTTTAACATTCTTTATGGTCTGAATTCTGATATTTAAAATCCAAAATATTTAAATATTAGTGGCTGATAAATAAAATTTGGATTAATGAAATTTCTGTATCATAAGTATATTATAAGTTAAATTATTTGTTAATAATTTCAGTTTCAGTTATAAAATAAATATATTATATATGTAATATATAATATCAAATCAAAAAAATAATAATTTTTCTAGTTAAAATTTACATTATTCAATCAGTTAGTAGGTAGATATAAAAACTTAAATATCAGTAATTCAATAAGAGGATTGGAAGTAACAATTTTCTGTCACTGTCAATCATAAGTGGAATCAGAGATATAACATCAGAATTTAGATTTTTACTATTTCCTATGCACCAATTAATCTATTCATGTGTTGGGGATTTTGAAAACTGATTCAAATTTACTAATACTCACTTTTTCATATATTCCTTAAATATCTAAAAAAGTTAATAGTAATAAAAAAAAAAAAAAAAAATTGATTATAGAATTTAAATTAAAAATAATAAAAATGAAAGAAAACTCCACTCAAGAATATATAATGAAATTAATAAAAAAAAAATTAATTAAATTTAAAAAAAAAAATTGATTTCAGTATAATTTATATTAATATTAAAAATTTATGAAAGAAAATTTCATTCAATTAGATTTAATGACTAACTAAAATCAGTTTAAAAAATCCTTATGTGGAGCATGTGATTGGCAGAGATCGAAAATGTCAGCTTCCAATTCCAATAAATATATAAATTACATTGATTAATCATTAACATATATTTTAGGAACAAATTTAAATGGCTTGGTTTTCAACAACAAAATATTACAGGCCTATGATCTAAATAAACTAAGTACATTTGCAGTCTTTACCTGCCAATATTTCTCTAGCCCAGATCCTGACGACCGTATGAGCATATTTCCGATGGTGAATCAGCCACAGCGACAGTGTCTGAATACTTTGCTGGGACGAGTTCAATTCCTTCAGACGTTTATTTAAACCTCCCTCGGTGAAGCTTGTCATGGCTTTTCACGTCTTTTACAAACGACATTAATAGCACATTGTTGAGATACGACAAGTAGCCTCACTAACTCGCGTTACCAACTGTCAGTAAATTATTTATTTTAATGTTACTTACATGTTCTTTGTGATTTCTATTTCATGAAAACCCTGACCGTTCAAACGGTGATCGCTCGATGGAGCTTTTCTCGCATAAGTCTCTGACCCGTGAAACGAGTCGTAGTGTATTTTTCGCCTTTTAGAGCCCGTACTTAATTTTCCGTTATAACACCGCCATCGTTACCTTTTGCCAATATTTATATTTTATTACAACGCTCAATCGAACACATAATTGTTATACTTTGGTCGACTTTTATAATACATTAATATTATTTATTTTTGTTCAATTTTATTTCATCACCCTTCTGTGTCTTTTGGTAGTTGTGCATAAAGCAAGCCAACACTAAAACATCATTGCCGACATCTAACTGCTCCTTTTCACACACCACAAGACTGTCTTGCAGTTATATGGTCGAAAGTCGGTTTGATCGACATAAACTGCAATGGATAGAATAACAGGTTAGCAAGATGAAACGAATTATTAGAGGATAAAAGAGAACCGATCAATATAGGTTGTACGAATAATTTTAACACACCTACCTAACCTATGTACGTTGAGAGACAAATACAGCAATAAAATACAAATATAAACCAATTTAATAGACAGAGAAAAAAATTACGTACACAAATTCATACATACGAATACCTGTAGCTGCACTATAACAATTGCGGATAGTACAGCTTGACAAAAATATAAATAACAAACAATATGCTAGGTCCTGGTAGACTTGCTAATACGGTTCGACAACTCACAATAGAATACTATCACATGTTAATGTTTATAAAGACAATTAAGTGTCAAAGATCATATATAATAACCTCATTTTTCCCTCCGAGTGATAACAACACGACCCTGGTTGGAAAAGACTGTGTGACATAGATAATAGAATCATCTATTATCTATGCTGTATGATATTTTGTTTTATCAATTATTAATATAGGATTGTTATCATTGACTGAATTGAAGATTACTTTTTTTATAATTTTTTTTTTTTTTTTTTGATAATATTTTCTTTTATGAAAACAAGTTATAAATATTTACTATTCTAATCTAAATTTCAATTTATATATATTTAAATTGTAATTGACTTCCTTGCATTGTTCTGCTAATATAACATTGATAAGGAAAAAAGCTCACCTATCTAAATAGTTTTGTAAAGTTATTATAAATATTTGTCTATACTTTTTTATTTTTTGTAAAAGTTTTGCTTAAACATTCTTCATTAATTAATTTAAATGCTATCATCAAAGTAGAAACTGTTTATGGATCAGTTTTATCAATAGGTTAATGAATGTTTGTGTCTACGTAATATTAAAAGAAAAAAAACCTGAAGATGGCATCAAACGCATATGATGAATTGAATGTAGATGATTGTGAATTGTATGTTCAACGACATAACATACAACAAATATTGAAAGATTGCATTGTTCAGCTATGCATCTCAAAACCAGAAAGGCCATTGACATTTTTTAGACAATATTTTCAAAAATTAGAAATGGTAAGTACACTTAAATGACTAGTACATTACGTTTTCTACTGTTTTTATTAATCTTAAACAGAATTAATTTTTTACTAGATGTTATATAACTAATATTATTAGGAGTTGAAATTTTAATTTTTGGTTTGTTAAAAATATATTGGTAAAATTAAATATTATGAAGGTTTAATAGACATATTATTGCAAATGAATTTTGTATTTATTATAAATTTACTTGCATCAAATGAATATAACCAATTAAGAATTCAAATTTTTATTTTTATTAGTTCTATGAATTGAAACATAATCAATCAGAAGTATTGATAAATTTGATTTTAATTTTACTGGAAAATATATATTTTATATTGAATCAACCAAGGTTAACTATTTTAAAATGTAATTTAAATAATATCAATAATTTCCAATACATGTCAACTATATATATATAGATACCATTTCTTAAAATTAAATTGTTTTATGTATAATATTAATAGATATTTTATTTATTATTTTCTGATTATAAAAATTCTTTTATTTCTTTATATACAAACCTGAACACTAACCATAATGTTAACATGCATTGAACTTTTTTGCTGATTCTTTATACTTCAAAGAAAAATTGAGTTGAAAAAAGTTCTAACCATAAATTTGTATACGTTTTACACTATGTATAAGATAAATGTATTTTCTATACATGGTGTGATAATAGTTAATAAGTAATATATATTAAAAAAAATATTTGTTTAAAGATTTATTTGGTTTATAGTCTTATAAAATATATTGTGTACTTATATTAATAATTGCTATAAAAATACATTTTTGAAAGATCTTGTAAAAACAGTCACACAGTTTGGTCTTAAAATATAAAAATAAGTTTGTGAAATATTCTTCATTTATCTATATATTTTACAAAATATAGTTTTTATTAATACTAGAAATTCGTCATAAATAACGTATCTTACAATCTAATTTGAATCATAAACTATTGTTTACAAATAAAAATAATAGTAATTATTATAAAAAAATATATTTAAAAGTAAAAATGTAATAATTAAAGTAGATTTGGTATCATATTCCTTAGAATAATCATAATTCTGACAAAGATAACAAAAACAAAATTGGTGTCTTACAAATGGACAGTTAATGACACAATGTATAAGTAGATGATATAAAAAAAAAAAAAAAAAAAAATACTGACAAATATGCACAAATAAAATTAATAGAAGATATAATTCTTAACATCTAAATTTCTTATAATATGAATATCTTAATTTCTAAATTTATTGAACTCAACGTTAAATACAAGTTCAAATTAAAAACACCAATATTTAATTCATTTATAAACAACATAATTTAGACACTATTGAAAAATTAAATATCAACTATACATCTTTTTATTATGTACTCTATTTACTTTCTTTTGTACTATTTAATATGTTTTCTAATTTGTTCAATATTTTATAAAAATTAAATTAAACAAAAAAGTCAATAAGGTGGATAAAATCTGTTTCTTAAGCTAAAAAAAATATATATATATTATATATATTTATATTTTATTAATAATAATAAAACATTAAACTATTTTAACTTTAAATGTTGTTTATTTGTTCTTTTTACATTACAGTAACACATATTTATTATCTTTTAAAATATAATATCAGGCCTTTGCTTGTACTATTTGGTATTCTTCCAAAAACAGTAATTAAATATTAATACAAAAAATATATAATAGTTTTTTGTAAATTAAATTAACAACCCCAGTCATCTGAACATGTTAACTAGTATATAAACATTTATATTATTTTTTTCTTAATTTTTTGAACAATATTTAATTGGATTATATTGAAATATCAAACAATTAATTATAAAGTGATACCAATCCAACCAATAAATTAAATTAATAAAATATCTAAATTTAATTTAATCATTCAGATGGCTTTTGATTGATGTACTCTGGTTTCCATAATTGATTACAAAAAAAATTATTGACCAAATTTATGTCATTGCTTATTGCAGTCATTAATTGGTCAGATACTTTCTTACTATCTTCTTTGTTAAAAAGTGCCATTAATGGCAAACAACCCTGTGCAAGATCCTTAGCTAAGGATACTTCTATTTGGTTTTCTTCTTTTTCCATCATACGTTTCATGTGCTTTTGACGCGCTTTAATAATCAATAATTCTCTAACAGTTTTTAAACGTTTATCTGATAAACCAAATAAGTTAAGAAAGGCTTTTTGACAAACATCTACACAATTGTATCGACTTAATGATTTTCTGGAAGTTTCAGTCGAATCACTTTCTAGGGTCTTGTCATTCTCTTCTTTAGAGTCCATTGATGTTACTGAAGAGGTTTCATCAAAATCTGATTCTTCATCTTTATCAGAATCACAATTTATATCTACAAAACATATGAAAGCATTTAAAAAACATTTAATAAATTTTCCTTTGAATATCGTTACTATAAGTTGAGATTCAAAGATAGTTATTATATCATTTATACCAAACAAATAAATAAATACATTAATAATTTCATCGGAAAAAAAACTACACTTAACCAAATATGGTTTTAAAAACAATAATATATTACTATTTTATTATTTAGCTCAGTGAATTATTTAATTTTTAAATCAACTAAAAATTATTAATTACATACATATTTCTGCATAAGTTTTAAAAATAAACATTATTTAAATAGGTTATGTTGTATTCTTTAACAAAAATCATATCATAAATATTGTTAATTTAAAGTATATAGTTAAAATACTTAAAATAAGATTCTTGTCAGAAAAATGATTATAATTTTGATATTTGTAAAATATAATTATTTAATAAAATAATTAAGTACTTATAAATAATACTCACTTAACATAAAATCCTCTGGTACAATTGATGGAATTCTATACTTGCAATGAATCCTTCTTAACAATTTACCATTAGCAGTTGTTTCTTTGCTGAACAATCGATTGGCGACAGGTCGAGCCTCAATAAACTTCTGTAAGAATTTATTTTGTACATCATCATTATCCATTTCTCCAAACATTTTAAATAACTCATCTTTAGATCGCTGTGGTACGCGTTCTGAACATTTCTGAGGACATTGGCAAAGTGTGTCTAAAATTCATAGTAAAAATATATAACATTTTTTATTCATGTACATCATACAATTATCACCACTCACCTGGTTGCGTTTTGCTTTCTTTTAACTTTTTTATGACATTAGTAAGTTCAGGATTCACTTCAGGAGACAGCTTCCTTTTATTACAGGACGTAGTAGTCACGTCGTCGACGTTGTTTTTTGGCTCCATCGGGTCTGTCATGGTGATGCCGAAGCAATAATTATATGAAAATTATGATATCGTTGATGATTTAAATGTCATAAAGCCCGGGCGTGTGGACGGGGATGGGGGCCGAGAAAACTAACCTGTATGTCAAGCGACGAACGTGCGGGAATTGGCGTTGGAGGAAAGCGGTAGGAGCTGGAAACCATACGAAATCTTTGCGGACGGAAATGAGAGGAAAAAAACGGAACGACTTAATGTGACCATTCGCCAAATCAGTGTTATTGTTTTCGACAGGGGAAAGGTGGGAAAAAACACATGCCTCGTCGAGATACATGGCTGCCAACCGTGCGCGCCCGCGGATCTCGCCCCCTTCCACCCCGTCATTAGATTGTTTCGTGTTGACCCAGTGCGCGACGCGTCTCCAACAACGGCCAACAATGCTGCAACATGAAGATAATTTATCACGCAATGACATAATCACGCACAGCAACGGTCGTCGCCGCGATGACTAGCCGTCCCGCGTTTTTTCATGATATCAATTTGCGAGAAAAACGCAATACTTGCATATTTCAGACTTTTATGCTGACCGTTTAATTTCGTTATTTTTTTCCTTTTGTTTGCATGCGCAGTCATCCCCATCCGTATGTTTTATTTTTTTAAATTTTCCGACACTGTTAGAATTTGAGTAATCTTTTTTTTTTTTACTTCAATATCAGATTTCGGTACACAACGTAACATGTACGATATTTACTGTCTAAAGACACAAAATATTGTTCGTCAGCCGGTAATTGTAATTTTAAAAAAAAATTATATATAATCTTACTGTCCGGGGTGATTTCTGAAATTTTATTTTTAGTTATAGACTCAAATGGTTATTTTTGTCCATAGGTCCACTTGAGAATCAAGTGATTTATTATTTCATACATTTATTAATCTCGCTTAAGTCAATCTTCCATGGTACTATCGTTTATATTGCGTAGTAATAATTGTAGCAACTTATCAATATTGTTACACTTCATATCGACGAAGGTCGTAGTTTTATTCGATATTCGTTTGTTAATAATCAACTGTTTCAATGTCACGGCTTACACGAATTAATTCTAAATATTATTAATTAGATTCCGATGTTAAAAATTTTAAATTCGATATTTTTTTTGTTGAAAAGTTATTTAATTACTTTTGGCAATACCGGGTTCTTCACTTATTGAACAGCTCGATAGTTTTGAAGTTATAACTATAGGTCTAAATAATTTGATTTTATAAACTAAACGTAATTGATTTGTACATTGTTTCAAATTGATAATATTTGATTTATTCCCGAGTTCAATTACTTTTTGGTCTGTTAATTTCTTCGTTTTTATTAGGAAAATTTATCTAATATCATTAAAATATCGATAGTAGATACGCGCTCGCAATCGCGTAGGCCAATAATATACATCATTCATGTTAAAAACGACGGGTCGCATTATGATACTGGGCATATATCACTTGTAGCATACATATTACTAATATGATATTAGTATACAAAATCATATTGTTGCATTTCGTGTGGTACCTATGTGATATGTGTTGTCGTTACGTAATGTCATTTATTTTCGATCATATCTTCTTGTCCTACCATAGCATATATCTGATCAGATCATGGTAGTATAGTATCCTCAAATGAAATCTAATTTTTTCTAAAATATTTGGTGAAAAATATTGGATACTTCGTAATAGGAAAAGTAACACTCATTTTTTTAAATTGTCATGCAAAAATTTATTATGATAAAATAACAGCTAAAATTAACTACAAAAGTACAAATCATAAATAATCGAAGAAAATATTTAAGATTCATTGGAACTAATATACCTCAAAATTAAATGTATGTTTATTTAATTATTCATACATTATAATTTATTAAATGTACCACACGTTTTATTAAGATATGACCCAAAAGTATTGTAAGCACCCTCTAAAATACAGGTCTGCGCTTGTCTATTTCACCAATTTAATCTACCAAGTCTGTCAAATTTCAACATAGCTTTTTTAAGTTTCAGTAAATTTGCCATATTATCATTATTATATCAAAATGGGGTGACAAATATATATTTATAGGTTTATTTTTTTGGACTTAATAAAGTTATATCAACTGTTATGAAAATATATTTTATTATTGGAATACAAAAAAGGCTTACATATATTTAATACCTTTAGGTTTATAATATAAAGTGTGATGGAAAATATGTATTATTCATATTAATGTTTTATAAAAACTCAAAATCAATGCAATATACCAGCGGTTTCTAAAATTTTTCGATTAACGGTGCCTTTTTGGAACTGAGGTTATTTTATGGATCCCTTGTTAATACCGATTACTTTTTTTTTTGGACAAAAAATATAGAATAAAAATTAATAAATAAAATAAATAATACATGATAAATACAACCTGAAAAAATTACTATGGATAACCAAATAACGATGAGTGTCACGACGATTCTGTAAAGACACCTTGACGCATGCTTTGAAAACCGCTGATATAGAGTATCAGTACCTATTTGTCATTTATTTCATTTTACTTGTATTGCATTATTTAAAAATATACTTTAATTTATTTTTTCAAAATATTTTAACTCTAATATTTTATATGTTTTTCTATATATATATACGATTAATTGTATGTATCAAAAATACTGATAAATTATGTAGATTAATAAATAAACATTATTGCAATTTATAATATTTCCATGAAATGTATTATTTTTTTTACATGTTATTTTAAATCGTTATTCGTTTATATTAAGTATGTTTTTAATAAAATATAATGTGATAGAATACATATAATTAAATTCTATTAAAATTAATTTATAATTCAATTATTGATAAGAATTGTTTATGATTTCATAAATGAAAATATGTAACACTAACTAAATATGTATTTATTAAGTATTGAATTTTAACAAATAATTGCCCTAATCACCATTATTAAATTATAACCGAAATATAATCTATAAATTATTAGGTATAACTTCATTTATTTAACCCAGTTTCAAATACTATGTTAGTAAAACTCAATATATTTTTATTCTTTTATAAAGAATTAAATATCAATAGTAAATATTAATTAAAAAAATTTAACCGCGAATTTATTTAAATATTATTAATCATATTTTTATTTAACTTAAATTACAGTGTATTCATTTAATGACCTTAAAGATTATATACATCAGTGGTTCCCAAACTGTGCACCGCAGTGCCCTAGGGGAACCGCGAGCACTTTCTAAGGGCACCGTGGTCTACAGTTCATAACAAATAGTTTAAAATGTCTAAATTTTTTTTTCCTTATTGTTTTCATAAATACTTTATAGCAAATAATGAAATATTTTTTATTATATAATTTGATATTCTCATTTTAACCTTATAATATTTTTATGTAATAATTATAACAATGATAACAATAATTTTTATTTATTTAATTTTTAAGTTTAAAAATTCATTAATTTATAATTAAGTTAAATTTTAATGAAATTAATAAAATTAGTTATCAATAAGTATTTTTTAACCGTGGCTAAATTGAGTCCAAAAAAAGGCACCGCGAAAAAAAATTTTGGGAACCGCTGATCTACATATACAAAGATTTCACATTCAACAAAATCGCTTTATTAGTTTGGTTCACTGCGATAAATATTAATTGGTCTATACACTTATACCTATTTAAAGGATATTTTTCTCTTCTTGTATTCAGTGGCGTAGCCAGGATTTTTAAATGGAGGGGCTAACCACTTTTTTGGATAAGTAAGTAAGAGAGGATATGAGAATTCACCCTTAACCTCCCCCCACCATCTACCACCAAGTTTCTAAACGTAATTCAAGCATTTTAGTATAGTTTTAAAAATATTTATTAACATATAATTTATAATAATAATAATAATTTTGGTTTCAGTGTTCAGTCACTTGCTCTACTCTGACAGCTGCATCCTCTTAGGCGAATTTCCGGCAAATTTAGTTAATATTTCACTTTCATCGAATTGCTCTTTTTTATTTATATTAGATATAGCCAACCCATTCAGTCTGTTTTCCGACATGGTGCTTCTTAAAAAAATTTTTAAGCGATTAAATGCTGAAAACGTTCTTTCCGGAGTGAAAGAGGTAACTGGTAACGTGGCGAATAATTGTAAAAGTATTTTAATGTTAGTTCGAAGATTGGTGCGATGAGAAAGTGAATCAAGATCAGAATTCGGTTTTGGAATAGTATTTTGACTCCATTGTTGCCTCCATATGAACAGGTCAGCTCTGATTCTAGATGAGGTATTATCATGGAGATCTTGGACATATATTTTAGCAGCTTTTATAATATTTTTATCGTTATACATATTTAAATTGGCCGGAATAAGTCCTTCAAGTGGCATAACATCTATAAGCCTTTGATTTAAACGAGCATCCATTGATTCTATTAAATAGTCAAGATACATTATACATATAAACACGGTCCATGGGGGGGGGGGCTATATCCCCCTTAGCCCACCCCTTGGCTACGCCACTGCTTGTATTCAAAGCTATGGATGGTTTCGCAGTCAGACACGCGCTTTCTACTCTCCCTTGTTCATAGTTCAACCTTTTAACCTTTTTTTAACCAAAATATAATGATACGAAACCAATTATTTAATTTAGTTTATTGGTCCTTTATATGAAATAACAATATTAACTATTAAGTTTACTAACCTTTTTCACGAAAAACCTTATAATCTTAATAGTTCTTTAAAAAATTGACATGAGGAGCGTCATAACCTATTAAGTTCTTTGAACAATTACTAGGAAAACGTTATAACTTATTAAGTTCTTTTAACAATTACAAAAAAAAAAAAACGTTATAACTTATTAAGTTCTTTGAATAATTACACGAAGAACATAACGTTCTTCAAACTTTTAACACATAGAACAGCAAAAACTAAACTGTTCTTCAATCTTTGAAAATAATGTTATGAATCAAAATTATCTTTTGACTATTTTGAATTTAAAATTATTTTAGAATAATTAGTGCTTTAATATCAAAATATAAAACTTGAATTACATTTAGTCCTATCTTTACTAATAACTAAGATAAGGATTAAAAATATACCCCAACAGCATAATGTAATTTTGAAAGAACTAAAAAAGCTTCAGCCAAAATAAATCCAATAGACGATAATTTATTTTTGACGATATAAGATGATATAATATTTGTATTTTGTATTTTTGTGTTATGATGATAATATAGGTAATAAGTTATTTTGAGTAATAATATAGTAGTATATCCATATTCTTGAGAGCTTCCAAACGTTTTGGTA